TGTGTCCAATAATTTGGTGTCGAATCGATCGGTGTCGAATCGTACTGTGGTCAAACGGAACACGCCCCATTACATTAGCTTTCTTACAATTATACATTGTAAATAATCTCGGAAAAATACCTGACGATACTGACATTTCAAGTTTCGTAAAAACTTGGAAGAGTAAGTGGCTTCAGTGTCACCAAAATTGTAGAACGTTCGAAGCAAACCATAAAGATTGGCTCGACGTGTCAGTCATAAAAAATGCATCTCTAGTAGAAGTACCTCGAGTTGTAGGCAAAAAATCTGTCAAAAACTTTGACTCCTTGAGTATTTCCTAAAAACGACGGAGAACCAGTAGTATGAATTATATTTTATTTGTTTCTTTTTTCTTAACATTGTAAGCTACTTAAACTAACAGGGAACCTCGCAAACCCGAAAATTCTGATTTTGATGAAACTTTGCACACATGTAAGGGAGGTCNATAGATGAGTATTGACATTTTCCGTTGCTGCTAAAAAACGGTTTTAAGGAATGAAATCACCCCTCATATGTAGAGCGGTTTTTCATTTTTCTCAATTTCTCTCGAAAATGATTAGAGATATTAAAAAATGGTTTATACAAAAGTTTTATAGAAAAAAGTCCTCTATTTATTTATGTTAATAGAATTAAAAAAAAATAAGTTTAATAAAAATTGTGTAACAAAATTATAAAAAACATTTTTTTTTAACAATTCTATTAATGTAGGTAAATAGAAGTGTTTTTCCCATAAAACTTTTATATAAAATATTTTTTTATATCTTTAATAGTTTTCGAGATACATCGAGAAAAAAACGCAAAACCGTGTTATACATGATAAGTGTTTCACTCTTTAGAATCGGTTTGAGGCCGCCACTGAAAATTTCTACATTTATGTAGTTATTTATACATGTGTACAAAATTTTATCGTAAGAACACTTCTATGTAATCGCACGTTAATACATTTTTGAAATAAGTTGTTTCTAAAATTTAATTTTAGCATCTTTTATATAAGAAACTATTTTTTATTATATATTACGATAAAGATAGTAATTTTTCAAATAAAGATGCTTTTATTCTTTGAATATTTCAAGTCATGTTGCAGTGCAACGTGACTTGAGAGATCGTTGAGCATATTCATATTGCAGTCTTTATATTGCATATTGTATATGTAATGTATCCAGGGACTTATTACCGGTATGATTTCAATACCGGTATTATACTAGAGATTGTATACCGTTACCGTTATAGTACCGAAACCGATATGTACCGAAAACCGATATATACCGAAAACCGATATGTACCGAAAACCGTAATAAAATACCGGTATTATTTCGGTATTCCTACTAATGGTATTCTTAAAAATTAGATAAGTTACTTAAAGCAATTTTTGTTGCATAATTAATCTTCCTACCGCTTATTGGACTTATAGACTGACAAAATATAAAGACGCTTTTTTTTATAAACCAATTGAAGCAGCTGTTTATTCATGCTTTCTTTTATTACGTAGCATGACTAATGTAAAGTGAACTTTTTAACAAATTTGGATATTGATAAATATGTCTATGTGTATTTTGTTACTGTTCTTAATTATATTAATTATTGTTACTGTTCTTAATTACATAAAAAAATAATAATAATTTAAATAATATTAAGTTTTTGTGCGGCAGTTTTTTATAAACATTATATTATTATAAAGTGTTATCAACATAATGACAACACTTATAGTTTTAAGATATTACTTTTAAAAAATCACGAAAAAATTATCGGTAAATATAGGTAAATATGGGTAAATATACCGGTATTATCGTATACCGGTATGACGTCATACCTTCTATGGGGACGTTTGTGAACAAAGATACAACGTCAAAAGAACAAAGTGTATATTCGGGATCCCACTCTGTATTGGAAATGACATTGTATAACTGAAACAGTTTCCAATCAATCATCAATTGCTAGTTCATAGAACTAGCAATTGATAGCATCTCAAAAAGGTGGAGGTACATTAAATTACATACAAAGATTGACAGACAGGAGTTTGTTTCCGCGGTACAATTTATACTGTCATCGACATATTTCTCTTTCAATAATATTATTTATAAACAGACTTTCTGCACACCAATGGGTAGTCCACTTTCACCAATTATAGCAGATATTGTTTTACAGGACTTAGAAATCCAAGCATTAAACTTATTAACTTTTAACATACCGTTCTACTTTAGATATGTCGATGATATAGTGCTAGCAATACCGAAGGATAAAATAGATCTAGTTTTACATACATTTAATTCCTTCCACAATAGACTTCAGTTTACACACGAATTACAAAAAAACAATTCTCTCAACTACCTTGACATCAATAATATCATTACAGACAATAGGTTGATTTGTGATTGGTATCATAAACCTACCTATTCTGGCAGATATCTTAATTATCTTTCCCAGAATCCCCTCTCACACAAAATTGGCACTATTTATTCCCTCGTAGACAGATCCATACTTCTTTTACATCCACAATATCATAGAAAAAATTTACTATTCACAATAGAAACTCTAATCAACAAAAATTATCTTATCACATTAAGATTTAACACAATTAATAAAAGATTGAGAGCATTGTTTTTGAATAAGTTAAACAAACATATAACAAACGACAACCAAGAACAAGAAGACATAGAACGATTCTATTTTGTACTTCCTTACACTAAAATACACAACAATACTACACATCTAAAAATCAATAATAAAACAGTTAAACCTACATACAGAAATTTAAATCAACTGTCCAAATTTATTAAAACCCACAAAGATACAGTACCTAAGAACAAACAAAAAAATGTAGTTTATCAAATTAATTGTCAAGATTGTGAATCGTCCTACGTCGGTCAAACCAAACGACAATTATCAACTAGAATTAATGAACATATTACCTCCGTTAGAAAAGGACAAATTGATAGTTCTGTGATGGCGAAACATTGTATAAGTACGGGTCATAGTTTTGATTGGAACGCAATGATTTTACACACAGAAAGAAATTACCATAAAAGATTGACTGCTGAAATGTTATTTATAAAAAAACAGAATGATGGTTTAAATTTGATGACTGATACTGAGAAATTACACGATTCCTACGTCCCTATACTTGACAAAATAAAATAACACAGATGGAGCTATTAGACACACGAATTCAGACTATCATTCCTATTCGGTTCAGTACTACCTATAGTCACACATAAGCATGACGCACAGTACCAATGTTTCTCCAAAGTTAAAAATTTGTGTGGTAATATTAGATTATTTCAAATTTACTTTATTCTCTTGACTTTTTATACAATTAACTATGTGATATATACACCATCTCATCATAAGTATGTATTTTGTCTATTGTTACAATTTTAAATTTCATATACAACTTGTCTAATTATATCATAATGTCATTAGATCAATTGATAAGGACTTTAATAAAGGTCGAAACGTCTTGAATCATCATCATAATGTTCATTTACTGCACAACACCCTGCACAGGCTCCAAATAGCCGTTTAATTTGATTTTAAATTTTGGATTTACCAAAGAGAGCCCGAGGTGACATCTCAAGTAATTCACTTTATTTAATTTTATCACTTATCTTTGTTCTTATTTTTCTTTGTTTGTTTCTTATTTCCCAGAATTTCTTTCCTGTCTTATAATTCTTTGCTTCAATCCATTTTTTTTCCTTGTAGTTTGCTTTCTATTTTTTTACTAGGTGTCTATACTTTTTTCTGTTGCTTAAATACTGACTTTTTTTAGTTTCATCTTCTCTATATTTTCTCTTAGATTCTTTTAATTTTTTCTTAGCCATGTGACACTCCTCGTCCCACCATCTTTTTTCATCTAGTCTGTCTTTTACTTTTATTTTTTTCGTTGGTATTGAGTTTATTATTTTATTTTTTAAGTCTTTCCATTCACGTGCTTTTTCTGTTTTTTTATGTTTTTCTACATACTTCTCTATTTCATCTTCCGTCCATTTGATTATCTCTTTTTCTCTTTCCGCTTTGTCCTCTCTTTCCACTCCCATACTTAGGCTTAATTTAATCATTAGATGGTCTGATGCTGCCCCTTCCACTATTTCCAGTTTTTCTATTCTTCCTTCCCCTTTTCTATTTGTGATTATATAATCAATTACTGATCTTCCTGCTGCTCCAATGTAAGTCATGCTGCCTTTTTTCTCTTCCTGAATATTTCCATTAATTATGTACAGACCGTTTTCTTCCAACCATTTTATAAGTACCTTGCCATCCTCATTTATTTTTTTGTCCTCCGATGTTCTGTGTTCTTCTGCTGTGTCGTCTTCTATTCTACCTCTTTTTTTAGCTGTTCTTGTGTTGAAGTCTCCTCCTATTATGATGTATTTATCTTTGTTTTCTTCTATGATTTCGGATATTTTCTCATAATTTCCTTTCTTCTCTTCTCTCATATAAGTGCTTATCAGTATGATAACTTCACTTCTTGTATCAATTTCCATTTTTATTATTTCATCTGTTATTTTTTTCCTTTATTTTTATCTTTTTTGTAATTAGATCTTTCTTATACGCCATTGCCATGCCTCCCTTTGATCTTCCTCTCTTTTTTCCTCTTTTTTCCTTTATTTGTAGCAATTCAAAATTTTTCATTTGATATTCCATAATTTTGTTATCTTCTTTTCTATCCATGTTTCTGAGATATTTATTAGGTCGGATTTTTTCAGTTGTTCCCAGTCCTCTACTTCTAAATTTGTTAAGCCTGCGACATTCCAAAAAATTATTTCCATGTTTTTTTTTTCTCCATTCTTTGACTCATTTTTCCCACAGTTTGGTACTCTTTCCCTTTTCCTATTTAATATCTCGTGGAAATGCCTCTCTTTTCTCCTTCCGAAACCATCTTTCTATTTTTTTATTCCAGTAGAAAGCTTCCTTTTCTGTTGTGATCTTGTTATATCCTATTCTGCATTTTATGTCTCTCTGCTCCAGCTCACTTCTTTTTCTAAATACTTCTTTCTTATTTTGCTTTTCTTTCCATGTTAAATCATCATTTATGTATATTTTATCTTTTTCTTCTCTTAATTTGCTTTTCTTATCCATTATCTCCAACTTTGATTTTTTACTTTCTAGTTGCGCTCCTATGGTTTTTTCTACATTTTTTAGTTTCCATATTTTCCTTATTCCAACCTTTACTTCTAGTTTTTGGACAATCCAGTCTGTCAGCTTCTCCTTGTTTTGTATTTCTAAACTATTGATTATTATGTTTTTCTTTCTTCTCTCTCTTTCCGCTTCTTCTACTATCCACTCTAAATCTTTCTTTAACTTTTCATTTTCTTTTATGCCTTCTTCGCTTTCATGTTCTTGCTTGTTGCAATGTGGTTTCTCCTTGATTTCTCTTTGCATTTTGTTTACTGCTTCTTCTAGTTTGATTACTTTTAATTTGTTTACTTCTTCCTTTCTTTCTTTTTCTTGCTTAATGTCATCAATTTGTTTTCTCATTTCCTCCAGCTTCCTGTTTGTTTCTACCTCGAGATCTTTCATGACTTTCCTCGTTTNATTATTATCTATCTCTACTTCTCTAATCTTCTATCCAGATCTTCTATCCCATCTCCTTCTATCCTCTTTGTTTCTTGCTTCTTGGTTTTCCTTCATTTCTTGAATCATCTTAATCACAGTTAAAATTCCTTGCTTGTTTTCATTCATGTTTTCTTCTATTTGCAATTTGCTTTTCTTTTTAGGTTCCTTTCCTCCGTGTTCAAGACTTTCTGCTTTCCTTTTTTTCTTTTCTTCTTCTGAGTTTATCTTCTCTAGCCAGGTAGTTATTCTGGTATATTCTTCGCTTCCACTCTCGTTTTCACTCTTACTTATGCTACCTTTTCTACACGTTACCGAGCCGTGCCTGCTTCTATTTGGTGTTCCCTTTCTTCTGCCTCTCTTCTTTACCTTGTTGTCTATTTCAATTATTGTGTTATTCAATTCCTCCGCACTACTCCTGCGGTTTCCTCCCTGTTTAGTAATTTTAGTAATGCGCCACTGCTCGGCACAACGCTTTAGAAACAGCCTTAAGGCTAAGATCGTTGTGGCGAGTGCTTTTTATCTGCACTCATGTGCACTNTGTTGATTCTGCGCACTCTCAGCCTCTCAGCCTTTCTCACCCTAAATTACTCTAACCTCACACCTCTCATCTACTCTTTCCGCCTTCTCCTCCCTTCAACTTTATTCCTTCTTACTTGCCTGTTTATTCTTCTCAAATTTCACTATTCCAACTTTACTTTTTTAAANTTTTCTACTGTCTTTGTCCGTTATTTTTACTTCAAAATAGCTGATATACCGAGCACACACGCACCGCACACCCTGCTCGCATGCTTCCTCCTCCTCTTCCGTATATATATATATAATATTTTTTAAGTTTTTTTACATGTCTGTAAAATGTTCATATTATTAAAGTATTCTAGCGTCGAGGTTTGATTTTCTTCATTTTTTTGTTTTTTTTTCAGATATGGTGATTGCGTTTTTTCTGTAAATATTTTTTTTCTGGCAGATTTTTTCTGTAAATATTTTTGTTTATTTGATGACAATTTATTAATGTAATCGATTAGCATCTTAGTCGAAACGTGTTTTGACGATTTCTCATTTACCCATTCTATAGAAAAACCAATATAATATATTAGTATAACATTCAATTTAGCAAAACTTTTTTAGACATATTCTTTTAACCTTTTTATGCATACTATACAATCCTTTAAATAATTTGTTATCTATTCCTGGTCGAGAGCTTCTTTTTCCAGTTGCAGAATAATTAACAATGCTTGCACCATAAACATCTAGAAGTGTTTCTCGAACCAATACTTTCCAATCATTGCGAGTCGCCGCTTCAACTTCTATCATTGATGTTCGCGTTTTGGATAGATAAAAGCCAGTTCGGTGAAATGTCGATCTGTGAAAGGTAATATAATGTTTACTCACAAAAAAACCATCAATTTGTTGCATTTTAAATTTTGATTGACATTAATACCTTTTTGTTTCCTTCTTCAAAATAATGATATGATATCTGAAAAAGATTTCACGCAAGAAAAATTTTAAAACTTTATTGTTTGATGAAATGTTAGTTATTGTAATGCATACGCTACCAGAAATCTTTCCTTTGAATTTACATCCATTTTGAGTCGATTTTCACACGACGCAATCATCGCTTTCAATAATTGTTGTTAAGTGCCGACGAACGTAAGTGATCGCTCTCTCTCTCTCTCTCTCTCTCTCTCTCTCTCTCTCTCTCTCTCTCTCTTGCATATTTCTTGTCGATATTATACAGTCGCATCGAGTCGGATCGAGTCTGCACGCCTTTTGTCAGCTCGATGCCGCGCTGTATATTCGCGTTTGATTATTACATTGCGCAATAAATTTGTAAAAGAACTGTTCTTGCCGTAGAATATTTTCTTTGCTGCTCTCTCGTCGCAACACAGTCGCAACAATCCGGGCGAAATCCCGTTTGTTACTCGTTACTCGTGCGCGTACAGTTTTCAGTTTTTTTTTTATGTTTTTGTATTTGAGTGTATAATATCTTTGTGCCGTGTTTATATGTCAGTATCGTTTCCGAGCGTGTAATTTAGAAATTCGGAATTTCATTCTTTTTATTTTATCTGGCATAGTAAGAGTGTAATTGCGAATCACGCCGAAATCCGTCGCCGTCGGATTGCGACCTTGCGTTAAGTCTATTGTCTAGTACGCGCGACACAAAGACCGCGCTGCGCCCGCGCGCCGTGCCCGACGTCTTACCTGCGACGGCACGTTCCTCTGCAAAGATAACTCCTGCGGTCACTTCCGTGCTACACTAGACTATTGAATACGGGCACGCGGCCGCGGCCGAATAATAAAAGGAAATCACACCTTACAAAGTAGCTGCCGATCATACAAAATTTTGCGTGTAAAACGCGCACGCGTCTTTAATTGTAATACTCTTTATGGTTTTTTTTGTTATTGCTGTTATTTGATACATTCATATTGTTGCTCTCGCGATAGCAGTTCCGCTCCGTCACCGCTTTCCGCGATTCGCGCACACGTCCGCGAGAATGAGAGAGACACGACTTCTTAATAAAAGCACTTTATTACAGCCTTTAACAATAATACAATACGAGATCGTACGCGCAAAACGCAACGTGACAGCAANACGGCCGCGGTTTAACTCTAAACAACAACTTTCGGTCGCTCGGCAACAAAACAATCGCGCCGAGCGCACGCCGCTCACACGGCTCCCGTAACACACACAAGGTGTCCCTCGCGCAACAATATATATAATACTTCTATATTGCTAGTCGCGTATCTTCGCAATGAGAGGCACGAGGCCCGAGAAAGAGAGACGCACGAAGTCCAAATATGGGCATANATAGTCGAGCGTCATTATGCGCAGGCGCGTCTACTAAGCGAGTGCGAGCGAGACAAAGCATTGAAAAGAACGCGAGAAAGAGAAATGCCCAAACGTGCTTGAATGTTCACCGCATGCGCACAAAGCAGCTGGAGAGAGAGGCTACTATATTGTCTGCACCGTAGCATGTGGACTTCAGGTCGGCACCGTATTAGCAATATAGAAGTATTATATATATGGATACATTGTAAGGCCGATACTCGGTGCCACTGAAAATTTTGTTACCATTAAGATTATATTTTTGTTTATCCCTTTCAAACAAACAAGTTTCTCTACTATTATTTACTAACCACTGCCTCCTGAGCCCACGCCTCTCCGTATTCTTGTTAAACTGAGCTGCCGTATTATGTTGCCGTCACATCGGGATTAATTTGGAGAATTGTGATACTTACAGTTGAGATCTTGTCGTGTGGCGTGTGAATTCACGCTTGGCGCTCAACTAATAGAATTTGGTGAGTAACTTTTATTTTAATTCTGTGTGAGAGACGTGCCGAAGTTGTGCGACGCCTCCGCCATAACATCCTACGCAAAGTGCCCGTTACAATAGGGTGATACTCTATTGACCACAGTACGATTCGAC